AGGCACTGAGGGTAGTGGTGTTGTGGAGACAGGCTCAGGCACTGAGGGTAGTGATGTTGTGGAGACAGGCTTGGAGACTATGGTGAGTTGTTGTTGGGGGATTCTATCATAAGAGGTGTGGAGATGGACAATGGTGGTCTTGTGAGATGTATTCCCGGAGCTACTGCTCATAGAGACATATAGACGTATTTGTAATAATGTTAAGCAAGCAAAGCAGGAAGGGGAATTAGATGTACTTGTCCATCTAGGGACAAATGACTTGGCTTGCAGTGAGGTTTCAGAGGTAACAGAAGTTTTTAGTGTTTTTGCCAATGATATCCGGCAGGTTTCTTCCACACTGTCATTCTCTGAAGTTCTGCCTGTGCATAACACTCAGCACGACAGGCGGATGCGTATTAGGGATTTTAATTTGTGGGTTGGTGAATGGTGTCGGGAGCAAGGATTTGGCTTTATTTCTCATGGTAGCTCTGTTTGGAATGGAAATAAACTGTACAAAAAGATGGTTTGCATCTTTCTCAAAAGGGAACAAATGTTCTTAGTGAGCAGTTCAGAGGTTTTACTAGGATGTATTAAAACTAGGGGGGGCAGGTGATAAAACATCAATCCAATTGACCCCCAAAACAAGAACAGAAGGTGCCTGTAGCAAGTGTGTTAAAAAATGCTCGCAGTTAGGGAATAAGATCCATGAACTTGTGGCAATAATGGCAACTGATAGTGTAGATTTAGTCGCTGTTACTGAGACATGGTACAATGAGAAAAATGACTGGGACATAGCAATACCAGGGTACTCTTTATATAGGAAAGATAGGGAAGGCAAGAAAGGGGAGGGGTGGCCTTGTATGTGAAGGATAGCATAAAATCTAGCCTAATAAAAGTTAGTGAGGCAAACATAGAGTCCGTTTGGGTTACGTTAGAATTTGGTAATCACACAGTAACTCGTGTAGGTGTGATTTATAGGCCCCCAGGACAAATTGAAGAGTTAGATAATCTACTAGTTGAGGAAATAGCTAAAATGACAATGAAGGGGGAAGTTATCATCATGGGTGACTTTAATCTTCCTGATGTAAATTGGAAAACAAAAATAGCTACTTGTGCCAGGAGCACACATATTCTAAACTCCCTACTGGGATTGTCTCTAAAACAAGTCATTGAGGAGCCAACTCGTAAAGTGACCATTCTAGATATAGTGTTAACAAATGGAGATTTGGTATTAGATATTACTGTTGGTCAGTGATTACGAACCTATGGCACATATAGAAACATAGAAACATAGAAACATAGAATGTGACGGCAGATAAGAACCATTCGGCCCATCTAGTCTGCCCAATTTTCTAAAAACTTTCATTAGTCCCTAGCCTTATCTTATAGTTAGGATAGCCTTATGCCTATCCCATGCATGCTTAAACTCCTTTACTGTGTTAACCTCTACCACTTCAGCTGGAAGGCTATTCCATGCATCCACTACCCTCTCAGTAAAGTAATACTTCCTGATATTATTTTTAAACCTTTGTCCCTCTAATTTAAGACTATGTCCTCTTGTTGTGGTAGTTTTTCTTCTTTTAAATATAGTCTCCTCCTTTACTGTGTTGATTCCCTTTATATATTTAAATGTTTCTATCATATCCCCCCTGTCTCGTCTTTCCTCCAAGCTATAGCTATATGTTAAGATCCTTTAACCTTTCCTGGTAAGTTTTATCCCGCAATCCATGAACCAGTTTAGTAGCCCTTCTCTGAACCCTCTCTAAGGTATCAATATCCTTCTGAAGATACGGTCTCCAATACTGTGTACAATACTCCAAGTGAGGTCTCACCAGTGTTCTGTACAATGGCATGAGCACTTCCCTCTTTCTACTGCTAATACCTCTCCCTATACAACCAAGCATTCTGCTAGCATTTCCTGCTGCTCTATTACATTGTCTGCCTACCTTTAAGTCATCAGAAATAATCACCCCTAAATCCCTTTCCTCATATGTTGAGGTTAGGACTCTATCAAATATTCTGTACTCTGCCCTTGGGTTTTTACGTCCAAGATGCATTATCTTGCACTTATCCACATTAAATGTCAGTTGCCACAATTCTGACCATTTTTCTAGTTTACCTAAATCATTTGTCATTTGGCTTATCCCTCCTGGAACATCAACCCTGTTACATATCTTAGTATCATCAGCAAAAAGACATACCTTACCATCAAGACCTTCTGCAATATCACTAATAAACTGTGGACACGCGGCTGTAGGTTCGGCATCACTGCAGAGTAGGCACCTGCCTGCCCGAAATGGCAGGCGCCTACTCTGCTTTCTTATCGGCAGGATCGGAAGCAGGGGGAGGCATCTAGGAAACAGCTCTCCTGTCCTCCCGCGAGCTGTGTGGAGCGTTGCCGTGTGTTACCATGGCAACGCTCCACACAGCATCGTGCGGGAGGACAGGAGAGCTTCAGGCTCCTGTCCAACATACTTATGTCCGTATCTGTACTGCAACTTGGAGCATCATCCTGCACAGCCCCCGTGCACAAGCCTCACAGGCCAGGTGAGTTCTAACCTGACCACCTTAGTCTGTGTTTAATTGCAAGGATGAGCATATCTCTGCATACCGGACTCCCACTAAGGTAAGCCGTGACAAATTAGAATATGTGTAAAGAAGTCATTATCAGACTGGAGCAGTTTAAATGGAGTCCAAGAGAAATGGGATTATTTAAAAGTTGCACTGCTGAAGGCAACCAAAAATTGCACTAGGCTTGTCAGTAAAAGCAAAAAAATACAAGAAACCACTGTGGTACTCCGCAGATGTGGCCAAAATAGTAAAAAAACAAAAAGTTAGCATTTAGTAATTATAAAAAAAAACCATGACATTACTTCTCCCCTGATGTCCTGCAACGTGTCACCTCTTGTCTTTCTTTTATCTCTGACTGCAGGCCCGGACTGGCCATCGGGCATACCGGGCAAATGCCCGGTGGGCCGCGATGGCCGTGGGGCCGAGGCCAGCAGGGGAGATCACAGAATCTCCCCGGACGGCCCCTGCAGGGCCAGCGCTACCCGAGCGCCGGCCCTGCATAGTGCCTCCACGGGCCGGTGGGGAGATCAAAGATCTCCCTCACCGGCCCACAGACAGTGAGATGCGGCCGCCGGCTGGGTGAGGGAGGGAGGCAGGGAGGACCGGCGGAGCTCTAACAAGCAGCTCCGCCGGTCCTCTCGCGGGATTCTGAGCGTTGCCGCGGCAACGCTCAGATCTCGCGAGAGTGAACTCTAACCTACAGGTTAGAGTTCACTCTCACCACTGGACCACCAGGGAAGGCAGCATGGCTCCCACCTCCCCAGGCAGAACGGAATCTCCTCCTCCCCCTCCCCCCTCCCAGGATAAAGGTAAGAAGGGAGGGGGGGAGATATAATTTTTTTTTATTAGTAAAAAAAATATATTTAAATAAAAAATACATTCACTCACACACACATCCTCCAGACACAGCACCCCCCAGACACACAGCACCCCCCAGACACAGCACCCCTCAGACACACACAGCACCCCCAGACACAGCACCCCCCAGACACACACAGCACCCCCAGAAACAGCCCCCAGACACACACAGTACCCCCAGACACACACTGCACCTCCAGACACACACTGCACCCCCAGACACAGCCCCCAGACACACACAGCA